TACATGATCAATTTCAGTAAAGATCAATGAAATTACATGTGTTTTGGGGATATGCATAATTTTTTATGGAAACTCAAGTGTGTTTAATATGAAGAAATGCTCATAACCATCTACTTTCTGCTTCCTGAATCTGAAACAGAGAACTAATGTATGCCTGAGGGAACAGATTGAAGAAACCTTCTTACATAGCTCTAAGAAGCAAATTAACAACAGTCAAGGTTAGAGGGTGAGGGTGCTCCCCTTCAACTTTAGATACTATTTAAACAGATACTGGATTTTAGTGCAAATAGGAGAAACATGCTCTCAAGGTCGAGATGTGCACAAGATAATTTCTAGCTGTCCAGAGTTATTTATTTCTACTCTACAAAGCAATTCTTTCAAAAGAATGCTGATATTTATTTTCAGAAGTTATCTTACCCAAGTAAAACAGTGCTCATCTAAGGGGATACTGGTTGCAAAGGACAGTAGTTATTTAAATAGCTGTGAATGGTATTAGAGAACTGGCAATTGATAGAAATATGATTATTGGTACATGGGGGATGAGAATGGGCTTGCATAGGGAGTAATTCTAAATAAAAAGCTTAATAGTTTCCTTATTTCTCTTTAAAAATTTTGATGCCATGTGAATAAAATTTACACACCCATATGTGAAAGACAGGTAATTTTCTTTTTTGCACTTTCATTTTTTAAAAATTAAAATATACAAATAGACTAAGGAGACAATTAATTCTCTATTACATGTTGCAAAAAACCCTGCCCCACACCATTCCCCTTTCCATTCTACACTTGTGTCTTCCAGGTGATGTAGGGCACTGTCCTGAGGGTTACTGATTTCATCAAGTCTATCTGAACGCTTCTACACCACGCCTCCTTCCCACCAGGTCCTCCTCCTTGCCCCCCAACACCCTTAAGTTTACCCTGAGAGTGTGGAGTAAGGAAGTGAGGACACCTCATTTACCTTTCATCCTTCACTTTCTGTCTTAAACTCTTCCTCTCTGCATCCAAAGGGCTTTCTCTTTCTTGCATTGCAGAGACTTTTCTCACATCAAATCCTTGTCCTATTTACTCTCTCATTTACTGAAAAAACTCTCTGTTACAGTCTTCTGGGCTTGTCTTTTATAAGCTTCTTTTCTCATCAACAAAGCTTGGCTCCTCCAAAAATCACAAGTGCTTGCTTTCAGGCCACTGTTTCAACATAGACTTGAAAAACAATATTTTGAAACTCAAAGCTGTTTTCAGCAGAATTCTGTCCATTCAAAGAGGATTATTTCCATTGGTTCAATCAGTGGGGATAAGGATGGGCCCACCAGAACTAGGGATTATCAGGGAAGGAAGTCTATTGATTTAATATTCTCCAAAATGTTACACTAAGGATACACTCTAAGGATTTATTTTATGGAGTTTCATTACACAGTTACCATAAGCAAGTTTGGACACGTGAAACTTATCTTGGAAAGCGTCACTAGGGCTCCTTCCCCCTCCCTTTTTTTAAAAAATTGAAGTATAGTCAGTTTACAATGTTGTGCCAATTTCTGGTGTACAACATAATAGTTCATACTTATATATACATATATTCATTTTCATATTCTTTTTCATTATAGTTACAAGATATTGAATATAGTTTCCTGTGCTCAACAGTAGATACTTGTTGTTAACTAGGGCTCCCTAACATCCAGTTCTCCCTTCGCTCCTGGACACATAGAAGACCTCCCTTCCCAGTCCCTGTGCAGTCTGATGAGCCAGGTGAGGAGTTCTAGCCAGTGAAATGTGATGGAAGTGAGAGAGCTGAGGCAGGGAAATTTGCTTTATGGGGCTACAGATTCCCTTCTCCTCTCTGAAAGTGGAGTCTCATTGTTGAGATGGGTGAGCTACAAGATCAAACTAGTCTGAACAATGGAGACACTGCTTGGAGGACAGCTACCCTGGACAGGTTCCTGTCCCACAGAAGATTTTACATGAGCCAGGAACAAATGTTCATTATGTTAAGATG